GGGGGGCTAGCCCCCCCGTTACCCCCCCTAATAACTTTCAGATTTCGCCCCCCCCTCAGAAAAGGCCTAGTTGCGCCACTGTCACTTGGTTTATCCCAAATAATTTTATCCTATTAAACCGATTTCAACAATTTTCTGTAGTTTTAGGCCAGTCCAGGACATGTTTTCTCATAGCTAAATTTTCCTGAATTTGCAATTTTAAATTTAAAGTTATAATATTTGCATTTCTTAACGTTTATTCAACATTTAATTAACGGTTTGGATAAGATCTTCCTCCGGTCCAAAGATTTACAAAATCAAGAAGCAATTAAATATTATGTAACTGTATACAGGGTATAGGACTCCTGACTATCCACTACGTCATCTATGCTGGAATAGTCTCAGGAAGGTCTGAGTTTTATTTCACAAAGTTGGCAGGACAAAATATAATTTCTGATTTATTTTAAAACTTAAATGCAAAACTGTCATTTCCTAGTTGCGCCTCTAATGCTTGACTTTGATTATTATTTGATTATCCAAGAAATCCCAGAAAAGAACTGAGTCGTTGTCACAAACTCTGATTGTCTAATCCCAATATCTTTGCAACCCAATTTCATAGTCTCAAGATCAATTAATTTAAGTTAAAAGTATTAAAATTTTACACTATAAGCTTCCAAAGATATGGGGATCAGAAAATTTGAGTTTTTGGCAAAACTCAATTCCGTTTTAGGTCCTTAACATCACAATTAACATTGAAGAAAAAATAATTAAATTTCCTTTTTAAGGAACTTTGAAAGTAAAATGAAAAAGTAAATAGACTGAGGAGTTGATCACGACCAATATTAGTTCTATCAAGTGACTCTGTCTTAAAAGATTGGTATAAAAGTGTGTCGAAATTACCACATTATAATATTGGTCGCGATCAACTCCTTAAGTTGTTGGCTGTACAGTCTATATCCCCTTTCATTTTACCTGAACAGTCCCTTTAAGAATCATATTTTTAGGTATTTTTCCTCAACTTCTAAAGAGATATTTCCTCGGTTGTACTCCTTCTCCTGGGGTATGCAGACCACCTTCACAACCATAGCGCTCTTTATCACCTTGATCTACTGGGCCTTCCTTCATCGATACGTTGTAGAGTTTAATCTACTTCCGGGGACATGGATGAAGGTTCTGAATGTTTTCCTTCATGCCATCAACTCAGTCAGGAATATCATCATTTAGCATTTAAACTTGAGTTCCAGGAGTCTTTTCAGCACTTAAACTTGAGTTCCAGGAGTATTTTCAGCACTTAAACTTGAGTTCAAGGAGTATTTTAAGCACTTAAGCTTGAGTTCAAGGAGTCTTTTAAGCACTTAAACTTGAGTTCCAGGAGTCTTTTCAGCACTTAAACTTGAGTTCCAGGAGTATTTTAAGCACTTAAACTTGAGTTCCAGGAGTATTTTAAGGAACTGTTGAAGAATTTAGAGTGACAATTTACTTTTATACCGGTCCCCTTTAAAACGTTCTCTTATTATGCATGAAAGAGTTACCATTATTTTTCTAGCTAAACATTGATAATTTATATCGGTGGTTTCTCTAAACAAGTGACTTATGCTGCAGAATTAGTTTAGGACGTTTACAAATTAAACACTATTTTAGTGGAAAAACGAAGATATCTTTCTCATTGTTACTCAGATATGGGTTGTAATTCGGATTCAGTGGAAGGTTGCATTAAATTAGAACACAGTTCCTTTAATATCATTTGCAGAAATCTGCCCAATTTATTTAATTCAAAAATATTGCGGACGGAATATGTACACACAAAAAGTAAACTAAGTTTATCTTTATTCTGAATATCTATAATTAGTTAGGAAATTGATGTTTTAAAATCATTATATGCAACCAGAAAAATTTGCTTTTCCTGGGCGCAAATAGGGTTTTGTCCGGAATCCCGGTTTAAATTTTAATCTGAATTTTTTTTTCATCTCTATTATAAACGTAAATGTAAATTGTTTTAAGAACGCTTTTTTTCAATTCCAAACCAAACTACGTATTATAATCAAATGACTTTAGAAAGCTAAAAGTTTTAATATCATTTTAAGTATCAATGTTGATTTTAGTGCATTGATTGACCTCTTCCTAACAGCTAGGTAATATCATTTTTTTTAAATAATACATCACATAGTCCACCATTTTACCCAGTCTTTAACAAATCAAAATTTATTAATTTTTATCTATTACACCTATCACAAAATTATTTAAAGCTACGATTGATGTTTTTATGTCACACTTTTTTTGCGTCCTCAATGGGCCTTCTAAATAATGCTTTCTCAATTTTGTGACCTCAGTGTGCGCCCTAACTATAGTGCATTTTACTAGTGTTTCATAAAAAGTGGGTCCGAAAAAGTAGGCCTGAATCATTGAGTCCGAATACATGGTACCGAATACATGGGTCCGAATACATAGTTCCGAATACATTGTTCAGAATACATGGGTCCGAATACATGGTACCGAATACATGGGTCCGAATACATGGGTCCGAATACATGGTTCCGAATACATGGGTCCGAATACATGGGTCCGAATCCATGGGTCCGAATACATGGGTCCGAATACATGGGTCCAAATACATGGGTCCAAATACATGGGTCCGAATACATGGGTCCGAATACATGGGTCCGAATACATGGGTCCGAATACATGGGTCTAAATACATCGGTCCAAATACATGGGTCCGAATCCATGGGTCCGAATACATGGGTCCAAATACATGGGTCCGAATACATGGGTCCTAATACATGTGTCCGAATACATGGGTCCGAATACATGGGTCCGAATACATGGGTCCGAATACTAGGGTCCGAATACATGGGTCCGATTACATGCGTCCGAATACACAGGTCCGAATACATGGGTCCGAATACATGGGTTCGAATACATGGGTCTGAATACATGGGTCCGAATACATGGGTCCGCATACATGGGTCCGAATACATGGGTCCGAATACATGGATCCGAATACATGGGTTCGAATACATGGGTCCTAATACATGTGTCCGAATACATGGGTCCGAATACATGGGTCCGAATACATGGGTCCGAATACTAGGGTCCGAATACATGGGTCCGATTACATGCGTCCGAATACACAGGTCCGAATACATGGGTCCGAATACATGGGTTCGAATACATGGGTCTGAATACATGGGTCTGAATACATGGATCCGAATACATGGGTCCGAATACATGGGTCCGAATACATGGATCCGAATACATGGGTCCGAATACATGGGTCCGAATACATGGGTCAGAATACATTGGTCCGAATACATGGGTCCGAATACATGGGTCTGAATACATGGGTCCGAATACATGAGTCCGAATACATGGGTCAGAATACATTGGTCCGAATGCATGGGTCCGAATACATGGGTCTAAATAAGTGGGTTCAAATAAGGACCTGAATATGTGGGTTCTCATGATTGGGTCCTAACATAAGTGCTTCCTCCCTTGGCGACAGAGAATGTAAGAAAATTGCCAGCTGACATGAGGAACATGAGTCCTTTTTTGTAAATTGTCTAAATTGCATTATTGTAATTGTATTTTTAACAATCGTAATGTTTAATGTTTTATAACTTATAACTTTTAAACTACAACAGCTGACGTAAAAAAAACATCAAAATCAAAATCTCAAAAATATTTCTCTTTCTCAGACCAATCCGGTTCCAGCACGTGTACCTGCCCCTGCTGTTCGGAATCTACTACGCAATATTCTCCGTCATATACTGGGCAGCTGGAGGGGTAGGAATATGCAGGTTAGAGCTATAAAGGGACTGTTAAAGTTTTTGTATGTGACCCACGCGAGTTACATGCTCAATTCACAACGGTCTGAGCAGAAATCATGAAAGTTTTTCTTATCTGAAAGTTGAAAATTTTTAAAGGTAGTGTCTTAAGTTCTTAACAGAACGACTTTTATAAATTTATGTTTCAGAGATGAACAAGGAAATTAACAGAATTCAACATTTTTATAGGTCACAAAGGGAAACGGGGGTTTCAACTCTAATAATATATATCTATTCATGGTAAATAAAATGTGAAGTTACAAACCTGTAATATTTGTTCTTCATGAATAGATCTGAGACAGATTGTGATCCTTACATTTACCCAATCCTGGACTGGGATGGAAACCCAGGTAATATAAACCATTATCGTCAAATTTCATAATTTCGACTTTAATACTGTCTTTGATTGATCCAGTATTAAGAATTCTTTATTTATGTAATTTAATGTAGGTTGCGACCCAATAAACATGGTAAAACGGTGACGACTTCTATATCGTATTTGTTCCACTACATTTTATTATACTATATATATCCCAGTTAAAACAGTAAATAATTAAAACTTCTAGTCTTGAGAATTCACCCAAAATTTGCCATTTTTTCACCTTCAAATTGACGAAGATTCTATCCAGATCCAAATTATTAAATAACACAAAAATATTGCATCAAATGCTTAATGTCTCCGTCAATTTGGAAGATATAAAAAAGGCAGACCACATTTTCAAGTTGTTTTTAAAATCCTTGTTTTGATAATTGATATTTTTCTGTATATAAGGTTTCTCTTTAAAAGTTACTTATGTATTAATATTGCAACTAATAAGAGCAATTTGTCAGAATTCATGAAGTTAAGAATACAAAAGGTTTAAAGGTACTGCTGTGAATTAAAACAATTCATTCTTATTAAGGTTAATTGAAATTACGTCTTCAATCGTTAAAAACTCCGGTTCATTTTAAGTACAAGGCCGACTTTTAAGCAGCTAAAGCAAACTGTACGGTACAAATACAGACTATGGCAAAAAGTTACAGTACACCAAATGCATCATGTCCTTCAAGGGAGATTCTAGTAAGGGTCTAACCTAACACCTAAAAATAATCTTACCAATAAACCCATTTGTTTAGGTGGTGCAGTTCTCTTTGTATTTCTAGGATTCATCGGAACATTTATCATTCAGGTAAAGTATTCCTTTCCATATTAGAGAATCCGTAAAATGTCGTCTTGATTGGAAGACATTTTGTTTTTGTAAATTTCGTTGCTGTACTGTATATAGTAGTGTAAAGTGGTTGTTTAGGGGTTCGTGTACGGACTGTACAGACTAAGAACGGTTATTCACAAGAAAGCGACAGGAACAGAACTTATTACAGATTAATCAGCTCTTATTTACGGATAATTCGAACCCAACAAAAATGTTGAACCAATAAGAATCCAAAAATAGTTTTTGAGTATAACATAAAAAACCTGAGCAGTGATAAACAAGTCAAATTTCCCTCATGAAGTAAATATTTTCAATTTTGTAGAAAAAGATGAAATATTTACTTAACTTGTGCTGTGTGTATGAAATATGATTTTTCAATAAACAAGAATCATATTATTATTATTGTTATATTTTCATTAGTTTTCACTCTTTTGTAAGCATTTATCTATACCACGAGAGCCAAAACTCTTTCATAGGAAGACGACATCCAGACGCAAGTTATGATTTTAATTAATTCAATGATTATGAGACTGAAGCAATCGGTAAATTAGCACAAACCATTTTACTTGATCAGTAATGTTTAGTTACTATAATAGTGTTAAACTATTTGTGTTGTAACAACATCAAATACACTAAAACTATCCTTTAATGTCGTCTTGATCAATAATGTTTAGTTACTATAATAGTGTTAAACTATTTGTGTTGTAACAACATCAAATACACTAAAACTATCCTTTAATGTCGTCTTCATATTCCACAGTTTTCTGGTTCTCACTGTATAAATGTTGAATAACATGTATTTTGTATCAAAATAAAGCACTTATTTCATCCACAAACTTCCTCGAGTATTTTATCTTTGATTTATCATTTCCTAAATAGAATTATTTTTTCAAAATGATAATCTTTAAAAGTTAAACAATTTTTTTTTACTTTTTCTTTTTGGGTAAATCTAGAAATTGTTTATTAACTCTTGCAATGAGATCCAGAAAACTCTGGAATATGACGACGACTTTAAGCCTGAAGTTATGTCTTTAAATAGTCCAATTTAGAAATTTAGACAAATAAATATTACATAGATTCAGTCTGACAGGGTCGACTTGGAAGTCTTGCAACGCCTTTGGCTTTGGTTTTACCGCTCTAACTCACTTATGCTTTGCTGTAGCACTTTACATGTTCATTTTAGCGGTTTAAAGCACTTATTATTAGCTTAGGTTTTTAAGAAGTATTTAGCAAAATTCTCATCGATTTTAGCTTGAGAGCTTTAAATCATGCAGTGAAATATGTGTTTGCATACCTGAAAGAGAGTGGAAAATTGGTTCCACTCAATTTCGTTCAATTCTAATAAATTCTAATCCTGACTGTGAACGCAATCTTAGCACAATGCTCTGACGAACATAATTTGGATTTTAATCATAACAAAATATAACATCTTTAAGGAAATGTGAACGTATAGAAAAAAAGATGACTTGATTATTATCAAGGAAATCCCTTTCATAACCTACACTGCACCGGGGACACCCCCTTCCACCTACGCTTACACACCTTATTTATGATAATAAAGTTTAACTTTTTGTAAAGCTAATTGTGGTCCAATTTTCTTCACAAAAAAATTGCCTAGCCCACTGCTTAATCAAGCTAAATTTTAGACAAGAAAAAAATCTGAAAGATGAGTTTTATATTTAAGTCGATTTTTATGAACGTTAATATTTGAGGTTGGAAATATAATTATCATTAAAGATTATTAACAAAAATATATTTAATATATTCTCAAAAATGTTCCATAATTGTACAAAAGTTCGAAAACATTTTGCAGTAATATTTATAGAAAAAATCTGGGAAATATTGAATAGTTCATGCTTCCGTCTGTTTTTTTAATCCCGGAGATTAAACCCTGTATTCATACACCGTGGACGCACTGAGACAGGAGGAGAAGGATGAAGAGGGTTGGAGAAAAGATAAAGTCTGTGAAAGTGATATGTTGGATCCCTGGAGTATCATTCCACCCTCACTCATCATTCATAACTACCAGAGTACACAGTACACTATGTACAAGAGGGAATACAGAAATCATGCTTCTAGAGATCCTAGAAACTTACAAAATCTAGAAAACCTAAATATAGTTTACCATGGATAATAGTCAACAATAGAACCTTTAAAACAGAAAACTAGCTTACTCTAGATACTAGAGAACCACAGAAACCATAGAACCAGCTTACTCTAGATACTAGAGAACCAAAGAAACCATAGAACCAGCTTACTCTAGCTTAGAGGAACACAGAAACCATAGAAACAGCTTACTCTAGCCTGGAGGACCACAGAAACCATAAAACCAGCTTACTCTACCCTAGAGGACCACAGAAACCATAGAACGAGCTTACTCTAGCCTGGAGGACCACAGAAACCGTAAAACCAGCTTACTCTAGCCTAGAGGACCACAGAACCAGCTTACTCTAGCTACCTGAGAACCACAGAAACCATAAATCAGCTTACTCTAGTTACTAGAGAACCACAGAAACCATAGAACCAGCTTATTCTAGATACTAGAGAACCAAAGAAACCATAGAACCAGCTTACTCTAGCTTAGAGGACCACAGAAACCAAAGAACCAGCTTACTCTAGCTACTAGAGAACCACGGAAACCATAAATCAGCTTACTCTAGTTACTAGAGAACCACAGAAATCATAGAACCAGCTTATTCTAGATACTAGAGAACCAAAGAAACCATAGAACCAGCTTACTCTAGCCTGGAGGACTACAGAAACCATAAAACCAGCTTACTCTAGCCTGGAGGACCACAGAAACCGTAAAACCAGCTTACTCTAGCCTAGAGGACCACAGAACCAGCTTACTCTAGCTACCTGAGAACCACAGAAACCATAAATCAGCTTACTCTAGTTACTAGAGAACCACAGAAACCATAGAACCAGCTTATTCTAGATACTAGAGAACCAAAGAAACCATAGAGCCAGCTTACTCTAGATACTAGAGAACCACAGAAACCATAGAACCAGCTTACTCTAGCTACTAGAGAACCAAAGAAACCATAGAACCAGCTTCTCTAGCTACTAGAAAACCACAGAAACCAAAAAACTAGCTTACTCTAGCTACTAGAGAACCAAAGAAACCATAGAACCAGCTTACTCTAGCTACTAGAGAACCATAGAAGCCAAAAAACTAGCTTACTCTAGCTACTAGAGAACCAAAGAAACCATAGAACCAGTTTACTCTAGCTACTAGGGAACCACAGAAACCATAGAACCAGCTTACTCTAGCCTAGAGGACCACAGAAACCATAGAACAAGCTTACTCTAACTACTAGAGAACCAAAGAAACCATAGAAAAAGCTTACTCTAGCTACTAGAGAACCACAGAAATCATAAATCAGCTTACTCGAGATACTAGAGAACCACAGAAACCATAGAACAATCTTACTCTAACTACTAGAGAACCATGGAACCGTGAACCCTCGCTATTGGAGAATCATGGAACCCAGGAACTCTAGTTACCGTAGAACCCAGAACTCAGGAACATATAAATTAAAGGTTTAAGAATTCATGCAACCTAATAATCCAGATTTCAGGGGTCATATAATCAAGTAAATGTATATTTATATTAAATACATTTGTGTGGAACATGGTTTGAGTTTAAACTTGTTGAAAATGTTCTAAATAAAGTTTAACACTTCAAACATCTATTCGTATGTAAATGAAGAGTTTGAGAATTCGAAATTTGTTTTAAAAAGGACTGTTCATGAAAACTTTAACTGATAATAATTTTTAGAAATAAAAGTAACTGTTAAAATGCCACATATTCTAACTTTTTCATCCCTATATCTTTTCCACCTGATGTTGTAGACTTTCAATATTTTAAACTATAAATTTTGTTCTATCAAGAGGTCAAAGTTTGACACTGCAAACGAGAGGTAGCATTTTGGTGACAATATTGGTAACACTTTGTGACCTCGTAGCTCCAGTAGTTTGGATTATTATGAAATTTATTTGGTTTCATAAAATAAATTCAAAACTTGTTGGCTCTTCTCCATAGCTCTTTAATTAAAAGATGATTTGAAACATTAAAGATTTCAATCTTACACTCAATTTACTTTAGTCTAACGTGTTAACAGATCATATGGTTAACATTATCATGCATAAAAGATAAAGGGATTAGAAAATTAAAGTTTGAGTTATCAATTTCTTTATTAATTCTGTGTCACGCGTTTTTATTTCGGAGATTAAAATTCTTTTTTTATAGAATATAATTAATTAAGGGTTTTAACAGTTGCTTAAAAACTCCATGAACTGTCCCTTGTTTTCGAGAAAAATATATACTGAGTAAATGTCAGTTTAAAATGTCTCAGTTAGTTCTCCTTCAACCATTTTAAATGTAAATTTAGCTAAAATAAAATCCATGTTTACAATGTGTTCTGAATGAGCTGAATCCACGAGCCGAGTGGGGTTTCTTGTTTGTTCTCAAAAGTGGATTGAAGAGACGCAACATGATCGGAATTTTAAACTATTTATACGGATTTTAACTAGACCCCCCCCCCCCGTACATGTCAGATTCACACTTTAAGAGCAGTGTCCTTAAATTTTGTTGATTAACAATGAGAAGGATATCGTAATTTTTCTATGAAGCAAAAATATCCGTTCTGGCAATATCTTTCTTGCCTCTGCTCTATAAGTATCCAAGTATTTTTTATAAAAGACAAAGGTCGACGCAATTGGACGCACAAAGATTGAACTCACTGTAGTGGACGCACTGTTGATAAACTAATGTCTCACACAGTTATTACATACATGTATACAGCTTCATATACATAAACTATAATTAATCAATTCAAATGTAATAGAAATACATCTTTTTAACTCAACCTCTCTTGTAAATAGGAGTTTTTATGTGGGAGGGAGGGGGTGCACTCAGGGCAAACGGGGGAAGGGGTTCAGTTACGGCCCTTTTTTCTAGAATAAATTATTTTTTAGATAATTTTAAAACATAAAAAAAAATTTTTTTTAGAAAAGATCAAGATTAAGATATTCAGAAAATGACCAATAAATATCATTCAAAGTTCAAGCTGAATTATGTCTGTACATTAACTGTGTATTGTTTTAAAGGGGAAACTCAGAAATATAATTTACTCTTTCTTCGTTTCTTCTTTTGGGAGTTTCTTCTCTTCTTGAGTGTACTATTTCCACTCCTGGAGCTGGTTTCAGGTTCATCATCCTGCTCCGGAGATTCATCCTCTTCCGTCTCAGGACTACTGTTCTTATTTGGAGGACTGTCTTGTTCAAGGACTGATGAAAATGGGTTTGAAATAAGTTTTTCAGAAAATTGGTTCTTCTCCGGTTGGTGTTTAATCGCCTGCTCTATATCTGATTCTTCTTGAGCAGTCAACGCTTTCTCAGGATTTATCTTTGATTGTGATAGAGTATACTTTTCCAATCCTTCGCCTTTTATCACATTTAAGTTATCCTGGAGATCAGCTCCGCTGAGCAGAACATTATTTTGTAATCCGTCCCCGTTCTCCAGCTCTAGGTAGGAGAGACGATTGTTCATACTCTTCATGCTAGTATGTAAACCAAGGTTCTCCGAAACTTCGGTTTCCCTCGCTCCGAACCTACGAACTACTGAGCTCATGTCTGATTGATCAATATTCTCAGCTATAAAGTCGAATATTTCCACAACCTGATCACAGTTCTCTCGGTTTACTAGAGCTTCTGAAACCTGGAGTTTAGAATTGTTTTCATTCTTGTCAACCTGAGAATCCAGAAGACTGGGCATATCCTCATCTTCAGTAGTTACAGTTTGGGTTTGGGTTAGATCAGGGTTTAAATTAGCCCCTATACTGATGGTTCGTTTGATTTTCAGGTTTGGCAGGATATCTTTCAGATCGTCTATTTCTTGACCTATCTTTTGTGTGCAGATGGTTGCTTGAACTTCAGATTCATCTTTGGAAGGTTTTAATACTCGAGCTTCCTCAGCAAGTCGTGATCTAATCAAATTTAACATATTTTCCTGCTTTTTCTTTTTTTCTTCATCTTTCTCATTTTCAATTTGATCTTCTATTCCAGCTCTAGTCTCTGCAGTATTCATTAAAGATGCATCATCTGCAGTAGGCAAATGTTTAATATCATCAATAACTTCCTCTAGGATTTGGTTGGTAGTTTCAGACCCAATCTTGTTATCATTAGTCTTATGAACACCATTACATGATGCAGTTTCCATCTCTTTGATTTCAATCTTCTCTTTTTTCTCACTTTGCCCATTAGCATTCACAATATTTGAATCCATATTTTCTTGTAAAATTTTAGCCTTTTTCGCAGATTTTCTTAGACTTCCATAAATAATATCCGTTGCAATCTGACTTGCCATATTTCCGATACCACTAATATCTTTCAATTCCTTGAGTTCAAAGGCTTGCAGGGTTTTTGCTTCAACTTCCAGATTTATCAGTATTGCAGGAGTTTGTGAGATATTTTCCTGGTTCTTGTCAGAATCATTTTTAGATTCTTCCTCTATTTTTTCATCATTGCAGACATCTACACCATCAACATTATCTTGAAGTCTGGGAACATCTTCCACTTTCTTCTTTTCATTGTTCTGTTGAATAGAATTATTTACAGGTTCTTCTGAGGCACTTTCAGATGTAACTCCAGTCTTTTCAAAATCACAAGCATTGTTTACAGAAGCAGTTTGTGTTTCAAGGATATCATTTCCTTGTTCAGAATCTGGTTTTTCAAAAATCTCAGTTTCTTCTGCAGTCTCTTTAATGTTTTTAAAAGGTATTTGTTCAGAAGTATCAATATTAAGTACATCGGAACTAGTTTTGTCTTCAATCCTGATATTTTCATCATTTTTTTTAACGCTTTCGGTTTCTTCTTTTTCATTTATATCTAGATCTTTCTTTGTAGAATAAGGGTTATTTGAAGGTTCTGAATTAGGGAGTTCGTTTCCATTTCCAGGTTTAGATTCAGAGATTTGTTTGGATAAGGAGAGCCAATTCAGGATAGAGTTTGTATTTTGTGGTTCCGCTTCTTGCTGATTGACGACGCCGTGGAATTCATCAGATTGCACATTATTAGTTTGCAAATCAGCTGGTTGCAAAACAACAGGTTGCACATCATCAGGTTGCAAATCTATAAGTTGTAAGTCAAGTGGTTGCAAAACTATTGGTTTCAAATCTGCTGGTTCTAAAATTACTGGTTGTAGGTTAATTTGGTTCAAGTCTTTAGGACTTTCAGCATTTTGTTTGACAATATCATTAATCGTGTCATCATCAAAATCCAATGGTACATAGTCAGTTGATTCAGCAGTTTCTGCACTGGGAGATAAACTCAACCAGGCCAGGATGGATTTTTTATCATCAGAAGTTGTTGGAAGTTCTGCACTCTGTTTGCTCTGACTGGGTACGGAGCAACTGGAATTCAGTGATATGTTCTCTTTCTCTGGGATTGGTTCTGTGCTTAGAGCAGTTTTCTCACTTTCATCCCACGCAGCCTCATCCTCGTCCAGTATATCCATGAGCTCCTGTTTAGAAAGGTTACTGCAGAATGAATCTTTCCTAGTCTCTGTGGAAGCTTGTCTAGAGATTTTAAACCTCTGTTCTTGACAAGGTTCCGTTGGACAATCAGATGAGAGAAATGAAACTGCTTCTTGAACCTTCCGATTACTGAAATCCACATCCTTGGAAACCTTTCTCAAGGTCAGTGGAGTATTCAAATTTATTCTTTCTTCATCTACACCAGGTATAGTTGGAGTACTGACAGGTTGGGACCTGGAGCTGGAAGGTCTAGAACCTGTAGAATTTGGTTTAACTTGTGGTATAATCTCAGTTAATATATCTTCCTGCTCTTCTCTCAACACTGAGTCTTCAGTGTTTTCTTCCGTTGGTTCAAGATTATCCAGAATACCCTTGAGGCCGGAGTAGGATGTTTTATAATCTAGAAAGTTGGCATGAAGTTCAGCTGCCAAGGTGCGTAAAGGATCCGGAGTTGGTTCCCTGGGAGGCTGAGGAACCTGAGTATCTGGAGTAGGTTTTACATCTTCATAGATCTCCTCTTCTGTATCCTTCTTTTGCAGTTCCTGTCCTTGACCAGTCTCAATCTTTACTCTTGGTTTCGTTTCATCCTCGTCCGCATAAACGATATCAGCTCCAATACACAAAGCAACCTCAGTCTCCACTTTAATATTATTCCCTTTCTCCTCCTCATCCTTCTTAGTGTACATATCTGTATCTTGATTCTGAGAGTTAGTGCATCCAAATAGTGTTCGTTTCAACCATTCACCAGAGAAAGGTTTGGTTTTCTTGGCAACATCTCCTTCAAAACCATCCAGCTTGCCTTCTCCGAACATACTGTCCTTCATGAGCTCAAAGTAAATCAACCCCATCTCCTGAAAAGCTCCCAGGGAGGTTGCAATCTTGAAATAAAACTGTAAAAACTCCATATATCTAGGGTTTTGAAAAACCTCTTCTTGACTCGGTAGTTTAGGAGGTTTCCCTGCTAGATATTTATGTATTCCTCCCCTCTCTTTCCTCCGTTCATACTTGACGAGCTTTTCATACCACTTGGAGACCTTGTCAGGTTTAGTGATATTCATAACAGGTCGGAGAATAGTTACGATCATGAATTCAAGAACGAATCCTCTCCGTATCAAGGATCTGAACTCTGCTGGACTCTCCGGAAGGTTGAGCTCGGCTAAACTCGTTCCAAATGTCTGCAGAACGTTCTGGAGTTCCTGTTGGTAGTGTTGGAACGCAAAGTTGTATAGCTCTGTATTGTGGTTGTTAACCTCAAGAAAGGGATAAATACACCACATTAGGTCATTGCACAGGGATCCTATAACAATAAAAACAATATATATTCATCGTTAGCATTTTGTCTTGAATTGGATTACTTATACATTTGTCAAGGAATAAATTAAGCTTCAGATATTGTAAGAAAAGAGGCTGATAATATTTTGTACAGTCGTCTCTGAAGTCTCATTCTTTGTGGGTAACACTGTAATACTACAACTCTAAACCCTGCTCAAAAAAATACAATAAAATATTTTAAAAAAGGGGAAAATTTTGACAAAAATTTAAATAAATGTACAGTATAGTGCGGTTCACCATAAACCAGAGTAATTCATTAATTCATTCAAGACCTGAAAGTCATTTTTGAGTTTGGAAAAAGTTTGCGGCATTCATTTGGAAATAGTTTGCGGCATACATATTTGGAAATAGTTTGCGGCATTGATTTGGAAATAGTTTGCGACATTCATTTGAAAATAGTTTGCGGCATTCATTTGGAAATAGTTTGCGGCATTCATCTGGAAATAGTTTGCGGCAGTTTTGCGGTTTCATAATGACCAAGGCTAGATATGAATGATTTAGTTCAAAATTAGTTCAAAATTTAAAATGGAAATTAAAAAGAATTCTTAAAATCTCTGGTAATTTTGAAAGCAAAAAAAAATGGCAGACCACATTTTGGAAACGACAAGGCTACGGCTATTTTGTGATTATTATTTTATGACAAATATTTCTGGAGCTAGGTTGCCAAATAAATGCCGCAAACTATTTCTAAGTTCAAAGACGATTTTTAAAACTAAGAGAGCACGTGTTTACCTAAGAAACCTCCCTGCCAGTCAATGAGCATAGCTTCAACTCCTTGACAATCCAACTCAGACATTCCTATATCTTCGAACTCCAGGCAGATCTTTCTACACCAGTTTATAATCAAGAAATTTAGTGAAAATTAAATTTAGAAAATAAATTAATGTTACTATTCGTCTATTCTTATAATTATTGAAAGTAAGTTTAAGTGATCATATTATTGAGTTTCATGATACTTCCCTAAACATGAAATTATTTGGTTTGGCATCTCCGTGACAAAGGGTGTTTAAATTGGATACTCCAGACTGGTCCAAAACCTGAACATTTAAAATATTTTGAAAATAAAACAAAATTAAACAAAAATAAAGTACCAAAGCTGGTACGCAATGAGTTAAAGGAATTGAGTCTTTGTCACAAACTATGATTTTCTATTCAATATATCTTTGCAACCCAATGCTGTAGACCTTAGAGATTTTAAACTATGAAATCTGTTAAAGGAAAGAATCTAAGTTTGAAATATTAAAGGTTTACACCATCAGGTGGAAAAAATATTTGTATTAGAAAATCTGAGTTTGTGGCAAGGACTCAATTCCTTTATTCTTCCGTCCAATTGGTTCGACCAGTTTCTTTGTCGAAGCTATAACTGATTTGACCAATCAGAAAACTGTGAACTTGTAACAGCTGATATACAGGGTGTCCCACGAAACATGAAAATAGGAAGACGACTTGAAAGTCGTCTTTGGTATTTGAATTTATTTGTGACATTTAGTCTTCTATCTACTTTAACATGTATGATTCTTGAAACAATTATCACATAATTCTCCTAGCCCTGGCATTTCCAAAAAGTGGTCTGCGTTTTTTGTGCTTTCAATATTACCTGAGATATAAAGAGTTTGGTTCAGATTTCAATTTTGTTAAATAAAAGCAAAATTGTCGAAATCTGAACGAAATTCTTCATATCTCGGGCAATATTGAAAGCACAAAAAAGGCAGACCACATTTTGGAAATGGCAGGACAAGGGAAATTTTGTTATTATTATCTCTAGAAATTTACTTCTAAAATTAGGTTGACAAATAAACGCAGCAAATTATATCAAAAATCAAGACGACATTCAAGTCGTCCTGCATACTGTCATGTTTCGTGGGACACCCTGTATTTAGATACTTTCAAATCATACTGTTAAAGTTAAATTAAAAATTATAAATTTAATTTCTCTTGGATATCCCGAACTGATCGTACCTACGATAACTAAAATGAAACGATCAAAGACTTATCTCTAAAAAATTATAATCTTGCAAAGTCAATTTTCAGATTATGCTCTGTAGATTGTAGATTATCCCATTTAACACAAGAAGTTTTGACTTCAGGGTATATTGAATACACCAATCATTTTAGAAAAAAATATGTACTTTGATTTCTAAACAATAAACACAAATAAATACACAATAACCCTGAATTGTACGCCTAGCTAAAATATCTAAACAATGAAAAAGAAATAAATAAAAAAAACAGTTTCAATATTTCAATGTCACGAAACATTCTATAACCTGTATTTCGTATTTTGATCATATTGCTAAACATTTTTGGTTTTTTGATAAAATATGAGAATATATATAATTACAAAATAGTATTCTTTACTTTTCTTTGTCACTCTAAGTACGTCTCACTAAAAATATAGGCAAACCCGATTTTAGTAATGCTTCAGTGCACTGTATCTTTTGTCATTTATCAACATTTAACATACTGTAGGAGAGTAGATTTTTTTGTGTAAAAAATGGAATAAATTTACCTGTAAAATTTTAAACAGATATGAATCCATTTTCCTCATATATTGGGTTATTCCTTTCAATTCATCGTCAGACTCTTCAAGGTACCTCAATAACAACGGTTATTTAGGTACTTTTCCAAAGGCATTTTCCCGAGGGCGACTTCCCAAGTGACAATTTCCCAAGTGGCAACTTCCCAAATGTGCGTTTCCCATGCGGCAACCTCCCAAAGGTTAGGTTAATCCCTCTGAGGCGCCGCTGGCTGCAATGGGGGCCAAGTGCTGCCGCGAGGATGGGCTAGGGGCCGAGCGCTGTGACTAGAACATGCTGAAGGCCGCGCGCTGCGGCTAGGACAGACTTGGGAAGTTGCCGCTTGGGAAATTGCACATTTGGAAAGTTGCAACTTGGGAAAATACCCTTGGGAAATTACCTCTTGGGAAAAATGCTTTGGAAAAGTACCTAACATTAAAATAACATGGACTTTAAGGGAACTGACGTTGTAATTTTCAGTGACCCTATATTTAATGAGAGGCATGTCCGATTCACTACATTACTCTCCCAAACTCTATCTAATCAGACATGTGTTAGATATTGCTTTAATATTCACACGCCTGATTCAAGCCGGTTTCCTATAAATATTTCCCAATCAACAAAAAAGAAAATAGTCCAGAAGATTAATAAAGAATCAGACAACTTATTTAAACTACTTCCAAAAATCGCAAAGCAAATATCCATTTTCATACAGAAAAACAAGGATATATCCATTAAATGGGAAAAACTATTGTTTTATGGATATCGTTATTAAACGGGCATGCACTCCTTAGTTACATGATATCAAGTTCACAATCCCTTTAAAATGTTTGATATTATTGAATGAATTATGATACTGACATTTGATGTTTTAATGAAAATTTGCTGCTTCATAGTTGTATCTTGTCTCTAGTTAGAAATTCAAAATTAAATTTTTTAATAAACCTGATGAAAGCTGAAAAATGTTTTCTTAGGAACATCCTCTCTTCTTCTTTTGACAAAATATCCTGAATAAATTCTAATTTTTAATCTGTCATTCTTTCAATTCTATTCTTTCAAGCTAGTTTCTGCTTTTGTTGTAAAATATCTAAAGATTTATTTTTAATCCTATAATCCTCAAAATTTAATTATTGTTAAATTTTCATCGTAATTTAATGAATTCAGTATTTGATTTTTATTTTGATGATAATAAAAAACAACGTGTACATCTTTTTTTCCGGAATTATTTGAGTTTTAAGGTATTTTTGTTGCAAAAATTTTTTTCCTTTAATTATTATTAATTTTGTTCGTAATTTCACTTATTTCTCAAGTAATATATTGCAAAGGCAATATACTCCAATTAGGAGAAAAAGAAAGTGAAAAGCAGTTTTTAACTATTTTCTTTGAACATTAAAAAAAATGTTTGCAACAAAAATACCTGAAAACTCATATAATTCCGGAAAATTCGATAAACACGTTGCTTTTATATAATGATAAATTTTGTCAAATACTAAATTCATTAAATTACAGGGAACCTTGAAAATTTAACAATAATTAAATTTTGAGGATTAAAGGATTAAAAATAAATCTTTTAAATATTTTTAGATATTTTTACTTACTAATAAATCTTGAAAAAAACGAGAATACAACCGAAGCCTTTGATTTAGAACACTTTGTATAGAAAGAGAAAAAATATAGTAGAAAAAAATGACGAGGAAAACTAGAAAAAATATTCAGATGTTTAAATCTGGATTAAACGTTGGAGTTAATTCTTTAACTAGGAAATACTGACTAATCACTCTTCACATATTCTAATTTCGCATCCGTATATCTTTGCAACCTGAAGTTGTAGACATATGTCAGACTTTTTATTCTATTAAATCACATTGTTAAAGATTAAAATATTAAGCATTTCCACGATCAGGTTGCAATTATTTAGAGTTTTAAAATTGGAGTTCAGTTTCGTTTATCATCTCGCAAATTTCTTGTCTCAGGAATTCCCCGAGATATTGGTAAAATTTCTTGTCTCAGGAATTCCCCGAGATATTGGTAAAATTTCTTGTCTCAGGAATTCCCCGAGATATTGGTAAAATTTCTTGTCTCAAGAATTCCCCGAGATATTGGGAAAATTTCTTGTCTCAGGAATTCCCTGAGATATTGAGAACATTTTTTTGTCTCAGGAATTCCCCGAGATATTGGTAAAATTTCTTGTCTCAGGAATTCCCCGAGATATTGAGAACATTTCTTGTCTCAGGAATTCCTCGAGATATTGGTAAAATTTCTTGTCTCAGGAATTCCCTGAGATATTGGTAAAATTTCTTGTCTCATGAATTTCCCGAAATATTGAGAAAAAAAACTTCCTGGAGAGGTTGCTGGGCAGCTTTAAAGAAGAAGAAAAATGTCAATTAAACCAAGAAATAAATAATGTTGCTAACAGACATCTGTGATGATGGAGAGTCACATATTCTAAATTTAAGACTTTGATACAATAAGAATTATATTTACCTTAACCTGAACCTGCTCCTCTATATTAGGGAAGTTTTTAAGAACTCCTGCATTTCCTCCAATAGATTTCTTATAGCAGAGTCCAGTTCCATGGAGCTGAGCGAGTGTCTCCAGGCTAGCCCGGAGATAATCCTTTCCGTCCTTCTCTATGCTTAGATCTTGGGTTACACAAGTCTCAAAACCTGAAAACAGAAAGGAAATGAGAAATATTTTTTTAGACATATTCTTGAATTGAACTATGTAACATTTATTAAATTAATCAAACAAGATTTATAGCCGCAACTTTTAAATGTGTTAAGCCACATAACCAGAAATATCAGTTCAACTTTTCAGATTTGCAAATGCAAGGAATCTTTTCAGATTTGTAAATTTTGAATTGTGCAGAGCAGTTTACGAAAATAACGATGTTTACTCTCAAAACCACTTAATATATATACATACACGATATCCCACCATTGTTAACACAAATTCGATATAAAAGGAACACGACATTCTGTGTAGTATATATATGCAGCCGTACTGTCTATGAATCTATGAATCCTTTTCCTACATGCAGTTGTCCACATGTCTCCCCGCCTTTCCGGCTTTCCCCCGCCACTCTCTACACCTCCCGGTACTCAGTCAGCCGAAAACATCCGAGATGATCACAACTCAGTCTCAGAGAGCTACCCTGGCTCCTACATGTTGTTAATATAGATACCTGAGCAGCAGCAGACGATGCTTACATCCAGCCCATAAAAATGTTCCAAGAGTTCTAAATATTTGCGGCCGAACGAAAAGGAATTATCCGGACTGAATATATTTCCCTCCCAGGAGTTCCGACGGGCCTACTCACCCACTCTCCTCCACAAGAGGATACTCACCCACTCTCCTCCACAAGAGGATAATCTCAACTCTAAAGAGTCTACTAATCGAACCTGGAGATATTGTTGGGTATTATATATCCTTTGAGAGCCTGGAGAAAGCAGAAACCTGTTACAGTTCTAGTTGATCTGCACTACCAACATGAAGTTCTACATAGCTCACATAAAGTTGCTACTGATGTTTGTCAATTTATAGTTTCCTTGTTCAATTCTAAACCAACCAATTTACAATCTTTGTGTCTTGGTCAAATATTTCAAAACAATATTATTTTTCTTAAATAAATGTTATAGAATATTTGGGTTTTTTTCTGATTTCTTTATTTGAATATTTTCTGACTTTTTTAAAGGTCAACAACCATGTATCATTAACTCTCAAAACCATTTAATATATACATACACGATATCCCACCATGTATCATTTACTCTTAAAACAATTTTCCATTGAATTTTTCTCAGAGTAAATAACGTTCATTAGTAAAGAGCTATTTTTAAATTAGACTTGTAGAAGTATTCTTTAGATGAGCGGGATTTTGCATACCAAAAAAAGTTTTTAATAAAGAAATAAGATTTAATGAAGGTGTTTTGAAGGTTGATTTATAATTTATTAGTATTTTATTATACTTGTCTTTTAATTTCTTTTAATGGAACAAATTTTGATTTGGCAAATTAAACATGTGATTAGAAAACTGAATGAATTTGGTCTCTAAAGTCTGATGGTGGATATTACCAGCAGCCACTAGGTTCTCTAGAACAAGGACATCGTGTAGTTGATCCTCCTGGTAGTTCGTGTAGATTATCTCAGGCACACCCAAGCAGAAGAAACCTAGACAATACAGAGGAATAATTCTCGTCTTCACCCTGGTTTTGTCATCACTACAAATAAGACAGATAGAGAAGGTAAAATCTATCCGAAATCAGGTAAAACTTTGTGACCACGTTGCTCCTCCAGCACACATATGAGAAATACAAATTTTTAATTGGTTACATATTGGAAATTCAAGCATTTTTATCCTTCTCAACAGCTCTTCAATTGAAGGAATTAAAAACATTTAACATTTTAATCTTACAGTTTACTCTAGTTTGACATAATATCAATTAAAACAATTAGAGATTATAGAATCATTAACGAAATTTCCCAACAAAAGGAACAAAGCCTTAATTTAACAGAGCTGGGAACTTTATAGAATGGTGGATGCAGAAATTAATGCTTGAGCTTGATCCTCTCTTTTTCTTAATATGGAGACCAACCAATCTTGTACTTGTATATCCCAAAATGAGTATAAAATTCAACCAATCAGAATCGCGTATATGAAGCCGATAAATTTGAAATTTTGCACGCCATTTAAGATTAATTTACATAAGCTGGCCGGAGGAACTCTCTAATTTTAAAAACCGGTTTTTGATTTTTCTCTACTATATCCAAGAAAGAACCGGTTTAAAAAAAGAAAATCAAAAGTGCGTCCACTGGATACTCAGATTAAGTAATAGAGATAAGGGATATCTCGTACTAAAGTTTTCAGATCAGGTTAAAGGGAACTGCTATGATTTCTCACCTTGGCAGTTTTCTGACAAGTAGTTTTGTAACTCCGGTAATATTCGCTGGTACATCTCATTCTCTCGTACATTTACCTTCATAAACAAGTCAGGTCAAAATTCAGTTTTTAAAAACAATATTTGTTGCTCCCTGCAGATAAGGATAATTGTATTTTGGTTTTATCTTTAGAACTGCAATTTTTTTTTTTAATTGTGAATATAAAGTTCCAAATCAAGGAATTCTTTCCATAAAATAAACTATTATTCGATTTTTTAACCCAAATTGAATATATGAATAAAAAAATTTCACAAAAGTGCACAATTCACATTTTCAGCTTTTTTCATTTTACTTAACTATTGTTTTTGTTTTTTTTGGAAAGCAGAAAAAGGGATTTTTATCCTCGCCACCTTTGATCTTGAGACCCACTCTTTTCAATTTATTCCCCCTTCCCATACTCATCCTTCTCCCCATCTCACCTTCCCCCTCCTAATCTTCCTCCTCTATATCTCACCTTCCCCCTGNCTTCTTAGTATCCCGAGTGTAAAATGCAGTTTCTCTTGTCTAATTAATATACTACAGAATTGTATTGCACAAACACTTTAAATATACAAACATAGCTGAGCACATAAAGGGACTATAGGTGTATGAAAGGGGTATAGGTCGAAACCTAAACACTTCAGGAGTTGATCGCGACCTATATGAGCTCTATCTGATGTCCAGCCGTCCCAGCTCTCCCGAGAAATTGAAAAACAATAACTGTGTCAACGTTATACCAAAGACTTTGCTAATTATAAAGACGAGGGCGAGGCGATGTAAATTTATCGGACTATTGTGTACGCCTGTACAGCTGTATTTTGACGTCATTGGTCCAACGATATTAAAAACTTAAATATTTAACACAATTGTAAATGTTTTGTGGTAAAAGTTAACTAAAATTAATGATATTAATTTGTATTTTAAAATTTGTTTAATTGGATATGAGGATCGTCTGGTGAATTATAGCTGAATTTGTGATAAAGTTACGCATCTCTTTAGTATCAAAACTAGCCAATAATTATTTGTGACAATTTTCAGATGTCGTCAAATATTTTTTCTGAGGTACTATGTACCGGAATTTTAGGCGTTGAAGAAGCGAGGACAGCAGACATTTCCAATAATACAAACGTTAAATAAATATGGTGTAAATGTCGTCTTCTGTTTAATCTTGGCAAAGAAAAATATCGCATAAATTAATGTGTTAATCTTAATCTTCAATTGATTTATGGGAATTTGGTTTCAAAAATATCAACCATTAAAGAAAAAAATACCACAGAAAGTTTCGTTAAAAATGCGAATTAAAAGGCGACCTTTTACTTAGAAGTCTTTTAAAGTTGATTATAGAAGGTTTGAGGCATTAATTATTGGAGGATTTTAAAGAGGCGGAAAAAAATAAATACATTGGTAAAAACAAACAAAGGAATAAAAAGACGACTTTTAGACTCAAGTAACAATTCAATAGTTTAATGAACGTAAAATACCACAATTAAGCAGAGAACAAGTAGATTGTCTAATTATGAAATATGTCATCTTCAAATTCCAGAGTTTTATGTATATAAATTCTATGAATAATTCTGATAAACTCAGGTCCTTCAGTGCCAATCAGAGCTCCAACATGTATAATACCGAGCTGCAATCCAAGAGTGTATGAGGATCACGTTTTCAAATTCCAGCAAATCCCAAAAGTAAAATTTGTGGCTGAAGGCCCTTCATTTATACTTAGAATATCTCACAGTAAAAGAAACAAGAAATATGAAAAAGAAGGAACAGTTTATGGTATAATAAATATTAAGACATTAATTCAATATACATTTTTTTTTTACTTTGATAATTGAATTTAATTACATTTTACAATATTTTTGAATTTCAATATAATATCAGATGGAAACATTTTGGCTAATTTTGAAAACAAATAATAAATGAAGTTTTTGGATGTTTCTGCAGCTAGCCAAATTGCAGAAAAAGAACTATCTAGGACCTATTCTGAGCATGGCAAGGTCACCACCCTCTCCCCTTGTTTTGCTAGTAAATTTTGATTTAGTCATGTTGCTGGCGTTAGCTGCTGCTTTCCTACACACTTTCAATGATATTTTCTTTGTGGAAGGGGGGGGGGGAGGGGGTAATGGGACGTTTGACTTTCCAGTCTTTTATTTTGAGTAGGACGTAGAGGGGGGGGGGGGGGGGGACGTCTGCCATCCTGTCTTCATGCGCTATAGGTGAAAAAACAGAAAGTGTAAAGCTCAAATCCCCATCTAATTTTCCTATTCAAGGTTTTCTTTATCTGTCTTGTTTATCTTGTTTTAAGCCCCCATCTCTACTGTCAAGAGATTTCCCTCCCACTTTTTTCTGTTCAATTTCTTTTTTCTTTTTCTTCTTGCTTCTCGTTTCTTTACACTTTAAGGCCTTTCCAAATAGTTCTTTTGATATCGAGTTGTGGAGCAAGTAGAAGAGAGATAAGAAGGTTTGTAGGAAGAAGGGTTTAGGGGATTGCTCCCTGTGTTCCTTCATTTTACACTGTTTCCCAGTTAAGGGGGATTAAGGAAACCCATAACTGCACCCCTTATGCAAAATGGGGAGTTATGATCCCTGAAAGCTCTCTTGAGAGGAATCTTCCATAGCAGTCCAGTCCTCACATCTGGTCGAGTAAAAACCCTATATTATTGTGCAATGTGCATTGCTAGTATTCTAACAAGGGGTTAAACTCCTCTTTCAGTTAACCAAGCTGAAGATGAAAATTTGTTTTAATCTATGTACAATTCTTGCTTCCCCTGTAGGATACAAGATGTGTAACTAAACTCAGCTCTTCTTCAGCTGTAATTCTGGGACCACATAGGAAAGGTCCCCTCTGCTTGGGAGCAGGCAGGCAACTGTCAATAATTCATTTAAATCAGGTAGAGAGAATTAATACTTGAATGAAAAAGAAATAAGATAATTGCTTACCGTTAAAAAGTACAAGGTTACAATTGCATAAAAGATATAAGACTTGAATGGTGTATGGTTGAACTTTAAATACCAATATCAATTATAGTTTATTTTCTTTTTTAAACACTTTATACTTCAAACCAAAAGTAAATGGAAACTGAAAATTTGTTTCTAAAACCCAGGGAGTTTTTTTTTAAACCCAGGAAGTTTGTTTATAAAACCCAGGAAGTTTGTTTATAAGCCCCTAGAAGCTTGTTATAAAACCCAGGAAGTTTTTTTATAAAACCCTAGAAGTTTGTTATGAAACCCAGGAAGTTTGTTTATGAAACCAAGGAAGTTTGTTTATAAAACCATGGCAGTATTGTTTAGAAAACATCGAACGTTTGTTTATGAAACCCTAGAAGTTTGTTTATAAAACCCTGGAAGTTTGTTTATAAAACCCTGGAAGTTTGTTTATAAAACCCAGGAAGTTTGTTTATAAAACCCAGGGAAGTTTGTTATAAAACCCTGGAAGTTTGTTTTAAAAACCCTGGAAGTTTGTTTTAAAAACCCTGGAAGTTTGTTTATAAAACCCTGGAAGTTTGTTTATAAAACCCAGGAAGTTTGTTTATAAAACCCTGGAGGTTTGTTTATAAAACCCTGGAAGTTTGTTTATAAAACCCTGGAAGTTTGTTTATAAAACCCAGGAATTTGTTTATAAAACCCCGGAAGTTTGTTTATAAAACCTGGAAGTATGTTTATAAAACCCTGGAAGTTTGTTATAAACCCAGGAAGTTTGTTTATAAAACACTGGAAGTTTGTTATAAAACCCAGGAAGTTTGCTTATGAAACCAAGGAAGTTTGTTTATAAAACCATGGCAGTATTGTTTGTAAAACATCAAAAGTTTGTTTATGAAACTCTAGAAGTTTGTTTATAAAACCCTGGAAGTTTGTTTATAAAACCCTGGAAGTTCGTTATAAAACCCAAGAAGTTTGCTTATGAAACCCTGGAAATTTTGTTTTTAAAACCCTGGAAGTTTTGTTTATTTTCTGGAGTTGAGTTCGGTGTGAACCTTATTACTGAAACTATTGTTTCTTTTTGTGTAAAGCAACTTTCCTATTATATCTTCAAATATCTTAATTATTGCACAAATAAGTATTTTTGCAACATGGGAAAATGCAGTGCTCAGGATTCTTAATTTTCTCATTAACTTGTTAAACGAATTGCAAATAAAAAAAAATCATAATGCTTTAAAGTTTTTTTTATTTTTTTTTCCATTGTGTCAATAAAAATGTAGGTTTAGTTTTTTTACGATTTAGGTTTTGACTATTTGTCGATCTGCTTGTTTTGGTGTTTAGAATTTAAAAAGCTACTTTTTTGGGGTATTTTTGCTGGATATAATTGGAAGGTTTTTTTTGCTAACCAGGAATTTTTAGTTGGCTTTTTTGAACTTAGATCAGTAGGTTATTATCAGTTTAGTTTTCAAAGTTTGAAAGTTTTTTTAAAATTTATAGTTAATCTATTTCGCGTTTGTAAAGAAACTAAATTTTTGCCACAAACTCAAATTTTATAAGATCTGTATCTTGAAACCTAATGGTTACTTTGAAACTATTCCTAAGACTATTTGAAATATCAAACGTCTACAAGTTTGTGGTAAAAAATTAGTTTCTTTATTCGAGAGATATTTGGAATCACTTGTAATTTTTTTTAATCTTGTTTGTACAGTTTATTGTTTGTATTATGTTTGTTCTGTTACCTGTTTGTAACTTGTTTGTTATGTTGCCTTTTTGTAACTAGTTCGTTCTGTTCCCTGTTTGTAACTTGTTTGTTCTGTTCAGTGTTTTTAACTTGTTTGCTATGTTACCTGTTTGTAACTTGGTTGTTCTGTTACCTGTTTGAAACTTGTTTGTTCAGTTCCCTGTTTGTAACTAGTTTGTTCTGTTCCCTGTTTTTAACTTGTTTGCTATGTTACCTGTTTGTAACTTGGTTGTTCTCTTACCTGTTTGTAACTTGCTCCTGCTTCACCTTTAAGAGGAATCTTGACAAATACACTTTTCTCCAGATTCTCATTCTAGGACGTATAAAATTTACTCAGTGTTCCAAACATTCCTTACTGAGGGTTCCATACAATCCTTGCTCAGGGTTCCATACAATCCTTACTCAAGGTTCCATACAATCCTTACTCGGGGTTCAACACAATCCTTATTCTGGGTTCCATACAATCCTTACTTAGGGTTCCATACAATCCTTACTCAGGATTCCACAGTCCTTATTCTGGGTTCCATACACTCCTTACTCAGGTTTTCATACAATCCTCACTCAGGGTTTCATATAATTCTTACTCAGGGTTCCATACACTCCTTACTCAGGGTTCCATACAATACTAACTCAGGGTTCCATACAATCCTTACTCAGGTTCCATACAATCCTTACTCAGGGTTCCATACAATCCTAACTCAGGGTTCCATACAATCCTAACTCAGGGTTCCATACAATCCTAACTCAGGGTTCCATACAATCCTTACTCAGGGTTTCATAAAATCCTCGCTCAGGGTTTCGTACAATTCTTACTCAGGGTTCCCTGCTATCCTTTCTTTTTCCTTAATGTTTTAGTCACTTACGTTTTTTTTAAATCAAGTTAGAAAAATTATGTTATTTATGAAAATTAAACTTGATGTTTTTATTTCATCCTCATTATTCTTTTTCTTTATTCTGAATACAGTTCCTCACTTCCAGCCATACATTTTTAATATCCAGAGCTGAGAACCAACTTGGCTCTAGGTTTAATGAAACTAACTCTAATGAACCTCAATCTATCTTACAGAGCAGAAAACTTTTTTTAAATTCTTTTAGTTNAGATAAATACCTAATGGAATATGAGATATACAGTATAAAATAGATAAATACCTAATGGAATATGAGATATCCAGGACAAAAACTAAATACCTGATAGGAATATGAGATGTCCAGGATGAAAGTTGTACTTAAGAGTCCTTGCTGTTCATTCTTTCGTCCTTTTGCTGTCCTAAAGATGCATTTATCATAAAACAAAATAAACAGAGTGAACCTTAATCACAAGATATCAGAACAGTTAAAAAAATTCAATCCTTGGTAGCTTTACTCCAAACATTGGGTTTTTTACTCCAAACCTTGCTATATCTACTCTAAATTGTGGGATCTTTATTCCAAATCTTGGGATTTTTACTCAAAACCTTGGGGTTTTTGCACCAACCTTTGGATCTTTACTCTAAATTGTGGAATCGATTTTCCAAATCTTGGGATTTTTACTCCGAATCTTGGGATTTTTTCACTAAACCTTGGGATCTTTACAAAAAACAATGGAGTATTTACTCCAAACCTTGAAATTTTTATTCAAAACCATAGAATATTTACTCCAAATATTGTATTTACCCTAAATGTTCGGATCTTCACTCAAACATTGCTATCTTCACTCAAAACCTTGAAATTTTTACTCAAAATCCAAATCTTGAGATCTTTGATACTCTACTAATATTACTAATATTAATACTTAAATCTCCTGGAATATTTACTCAAATCTTTAGAAACATTGCTTAAAACCTAAGAAACTTTACCCCAAACCTTGGGATCTTTACTCCATATCTAGGTATCTTTACAACAAACCTTGGTGTCTCTAAATCGTTGGAATCTTTACTCCAAACATTGGTATCTTTACTCCAAATCTTGTGATCTCTACTAAACCCCTTTGAATCTGTACTCCAAACCTTTGATAAATGCTCCATCTTTACGATAAACCTTGTGATCTTTACTTGAATCTTTGCTTTCATACCTTGGTAGCTTTACTCCAAACCTTGGTATCTTTAATCCAAACCTTGGAATCACTACTGAAACCTTTGGGATCTGCACTCCAAACCTTGGGATAAGTACTCCATCTTTACGACAAACCTTGTGATCTTTGCTCGAAACCTTGGGATCTTTACTTCAAATCAGGATCTTAACTCCAAACCTTTGGAACTTTGGAATCTTTACTCTAAACCTCGCCTTGGCAGCTTTACTCCAAATCTTGGGATATTTACTCCAAACCTTGGAATCTTAAATATAAACCCTGGGACGTTTATCCCCAACAATAACTTTAAATCTGCCCTTATAGAGCCATAATTTTAATAAAAACATATTTAAAAATGTTACAAGAAAAAGTAAACGAAGCTGTTGTTTTGACACCTGATTTCCACTAAAGCCGGATCCTGATCATTTCTCTTAAACCAATCTTCAAGAACAAACTTTGCAAAGGTCGGAGAAAACTCTTCAGCTGTGCTTGGTACAACAGGTGAACTAGCAGATACTCTGACCGGCGCGCTAGTCGGTTTCTCAACTGTATTCTGATGCATTTTTAGAATCTTAGAAGCATTTCTTTCTGTAAAATTGAACGCATCTAAATATTTTTATGAGAACGATTTTTGGGATTGACGTTTTTTATGTCTTGATGTATGTTTTTGGTTGATATTTTATGCATGAAGTTTTTACTTCTGGGTTCTCTCTTCATCCCGTCTTCATGAGTTTTATTTTGAAATTTTTGTTTAACGTTAGTGTTTATTATTTAAAGAAAAATATCCGCTAGTTAAAAACATCTAAAAATTTAGGTCATCAATCAAAAAATAATATCTCAAAATAATTCAATTATAATTTGTACTTTTCACCTTTATGAATCCATGGACATGCTTTTTATATTTGCTGCATTCATCCTGGCTAACGAAAAGTAAATACGAAAACTTTTCACACACATTCTTTATAAAAATGTGCCAAAAGTAGAAATGCTTGAAAGTTCTCCAATACGCTAAATGGAAATCGATGTAGCAAACGAACAATTTTCCAATAGTTAAAAAAATTGCGAACAAAAAATCTTCAGTTTTTTATAACATTTTTTTCTGGAGTTTTCTTTTACTTCACTTAAAAAGAAAATGCAGTTTTGAATTTAGGGTTAAAAATATATGTCCAGGGTATCATTAGTTTAGTTCTAACTTTGAATTCCTGAGTTCAAGAATATAAATATCTAATGGTAACTTATTATCACATGTTTATTTTTAATTGATCAAGCAGTTCACCTTTAGAAAATGTATTTTTATTCATTCTTTTTCTGGTATTCATCTGGAGTTTTACGTCATCAGTGTTAATTTGATTAAAACCGATGACTTTTCAATTAACTTTGTATTAAAGTAATGTCTCGTAAATATCTCATGTATTTCTAATTCTATTTATATTGCCGGGTTCAGATTCTCCGGGGACAGGTATTGACTGAGGGGGGAGAAGAGCGTTCTTCGGCTTTCTAGCATGTGTATCATCTGGGTCAGCTTATATACTTATAATACTGCAAGTACAGGGGATAGATACATCCAATCATAGGTCACCGGTATACACAATTTTACAGGGGTAGCAAGTGGAGGTGAGAAGGAAGGGGAAGGTAAAGCATGTAGGAGGCAAGAAGGAAGGGGAAGGTAAAGCATGTAGGAGGTGAGAAGGAAGGGGAAGGTAAACCATGTAGGAGGTGAGAAGGAAGGGGAAGAGATTTTAAAAAATTCTTCAATACCAAAAAGAAAATTGTGTTGAGTTTCTGCAGAAACAAATTAGAGAATAATATTTTTCATTTTTGTTTTTCAAGGTGTGTAAGATATTTTTGATTTTAATTCAGTTAAAACTATTTTTTAACATTATCTTCTCAATCAGGCTATTTCTTAACATTATCTTTTCAATCAGGCTATTTTTTAACATTATTTTCTCAATCAAGCTATTTTTTAACATTATCTTCTCAATCAGGCTATTTTTTAACATTATCTTCTCAATCAGGCTATTTTTTAACATTATCTTCTCAATCAGGCTATCTTTTAACATTATCTTCTCAATCAGGTTATTTTTTAACATTATCGTCTAAATCAGGCTGTTTTTTAACATTATCTTCTCAATCAGACTATTTTTTAACATTATCTTCACAATCAGGCTATTTTTTAACATTATCTTCTCAATCAGGCTATTTTTTTAAGTTGCAGACAGATTCAAAGTCCGGAATGAGAAATTAATATTTGTACTGTACAATAAATAAATATAAGTAGCACCCTTAATTCCTGGCATAAACTTTATTCAAATATGCATAGATATAAATATCTAGGTCAGCATTTTCTAGGTAAAGGGTATACATATGCTTATTTGACTCATACCTACACCCTTCCATAAATTTTATCTGAGTTTTAGATAAACATTCATGTATTTACAATTAAAATACTTATATAAAAGGTAACGCAAAGTTTTCTATCAAATAATTTATTTTTAATGTTTTTAAGTAGAAAAAAAATCATATTTTTCATGGATTTTGAAAAAAGGTTAAAGTGAAATCGACATTTCTGCCCGAACCTGTCCTCCATCTTCTCGAAACCATGCCCCAGTTCTTATTAAAACCAAGTTACGGTTTAACTGCCAGGAGATCAACTAGATATGAGCAAAGGAATTGAGTCTTTGCCACAAAATCTGATTTTCTAATCCCTGTATCTTTCCAGCCCAATATCGTAGACCTTAGATATTTCAAAATAAATAATTTGCTTTATTAAATATTTTTAGTTTGAAATATTTAAGGTGTACGACAACGGGTTGCAAAGATATTGGGATTAAACAATCAGAGTTTGTGGCAAAGACTCAATTCCTTAACGAATGACGAAATGTTGGGGGTTAAATTGTACAAACGAAAGACAATCTTAAAAATCAAAATTACCATAAACATACACTGTTAGAAAAACCCGCTTACAATCAACAGTATTCAGTTCACGCACCAAGCCATGAAGATCCGTTGTAATATATCAACGATAATTCTGCTTGATATCAATTTACGGCCTGTACGCTAAATTCTAATTACATTCACTTGAATTCTACTTACTTCAATCATCAGAAATTGAAGCAAGCATAATCCTGCTTACGTTATTTACAGTGATCCGGCGTTCAGACACGTACCGCCACTCAATTCAATCAGAATACTACTTGGATTCTGCATTAACCAGAATTCTGCTTACTTCAATTAAAATTCGACTCTCTTCAAGTAAATTCTAACAGAGATCAATAATGTATGCATTTAAAGCA